AAACCTGGAAATTTAGAGAGTAGTTTTCCAGTCATGGAAACACCTGGAAGTTGATTTAAATGACCAAAAATCCTGGAAATAATCTGTTAATTATAAATGTGATTGTATTTTAGCCCCTCACTCAGTTTACCTAACCCTGGGTGTGTATTATGTTTGAAACTCAAACGTTGGTAGGATAACCTGTGTGGTGTGACACTTGAAAGCACGTTTACCAGACGCAAAGCAGAACAAAAAAACACCTTTTTAATTTGTTCTGCTGTGTCAGTCAAGAGCGGTTCACACGCGACACAAAGTGAAACAAACTTGCAGCGATCTTTTTAGCATGGAAAATGATGTATGTAAAAGCGTGGGAACCCTGTCACTGACGCTCTTATAAACCAAACAACAGTGCACTCCTAACCTTAACCCACTCAAACAAACCTGAAGTTTAACAACGTCTCTAACCTCACTCCAGAAAAATGTTGAAAGCTGGTTTATAAACGTAAACAACAGATCATATTAGAGGACTGGGAATATCTAGGAAGAGAAACTGACACTTAACAAATAATGAAAGAAGTTAGCAGGACTTTATTTTTTGTTTCTATTTCTGTAAACTCAAACATCTGATGTAAAACTGTGACACTGGCAACCAGCACAACCAGGCTCATTAGCTTTTATAAGCAGTTCCACGTCAAGAGCCGAGCTGCATGTTCGTGTAAGAACACAAAAGTAGTCCTCAAATCCATCAAACTTTAGGGAATTACTTTTGGTTGAGCACCTTAGAATTAGTTTGGATTTGTGTTTAAAGTATCATTATGTCCTTCTGTAACTGATGAACAGCCAGTTAAGTGTCTCGGCTGTGTGAGTTTCTGCTCCCACCTTGTGGTTAAACGGCGGTACTGCGCCTGAGAGGTTGCAGTAGCAGTGAGAACTATTGATTGACACTGTTGATGCTATTTATCTCGTCTTGGTGAGTTCTCGCCGTTTGAAACGACGTTAAACCGAGGTGATGCTACAGCTACAGCCGAATACGTGGGGGCATATTTATTCTGGATTAACTCTGTGGGTGGGGGGGCAGCAGCGTGTGTGGGCGGGCTTGATTAACATTTAATTCTCACTCTGTCCCCTCGTATCTCCGTCCACTCTCTCTCTCTCCGCAGGCTGTTTGTTTTTCCTCTTTCTGGGACTGATGTACATGTTCAGGCCCAACATGTCGTTCGTGGCTCCGGTCCAGGAGAAGGTGGTGATCGGAATGTTTTTCCTTGGAGCCATCCTCTGCCTCTCCTTCTCATGGCTCTTCCACACAGTCTACTGCCACTCTGAGGGCGTCTCCAGAGTCTTCTCCAAGTAAGACGCGATGTGCTGTAAACTCACCGATTTAGTGAGAGAAATGTCCTTTTTTAAAGCGAAAGAAAAGAAATAATCCTGAAATAATCATCCACTCTGTGTTTCCCAGGTTGGACTACAGCGGGATCGCCTTCCTGATCATGGGCTCGTTCGTCCCCTGGTTGTACTACTCCTTCTACTGCTCCCCTCAGCCCCGCTTCATCTACCTGATAGTGGTGTGCATACTGGGATTGTCCGCCATCACCGTCTCCCAGTGTGACTTCTTCGCCACGCCGCAGTACAGAGGAGTGAGAGCAGGTAGAGTGAGATAGTGACGCACCTTTATTTTGTTCTTTAAAGCTCCTCTAATCAGTAGTTTCTGTTTTTTGGATTACAGATAAACAATAAAGTATGTTTCTGATTACTGGTTAAAGATATACAGAATACTGATTCACATTCGATCAGCACTGCCTGGTTTGACCGTTTTAAGAGTTTGACTTGTCAATCACAAGACATCCACGCTCTAAAACTTTCTCTAAACAAAATAAACATCATGCTGTATGGACTGGGTAAATGGGCAACTTTTAATAATGTCATCAATAGCTCGCTTGCAAAAATAACGCATTATTTTCAGGTTTCAGTATTCTCAATCTGCCCCCCCCCCAACTCTCTCTCTCTGTGTGTAGGAGTGTTTGTGGGTCTGGGTCTGAGCGGCGTGGTTCCCACCCTTCACTTTGTCATCAGCGAGGGTCTGATCAAAGCCACCACCATGGGTCAGATGGGCTGGCTGCTGCTCATGGCGACGCTCTACATCACCGGCGCCTGTCTGTACGCCGCTCGCATCCCCGAGAGGTTCTTCCCCGGCAAATGTGACATCTGGGTAAGCGGCTTTATCCTCCTAGTTCACAGGAGCACTTTCTTCTTCACATTTTTCTCTTTGTATGTCACTCGCACACATTTAATTTACTCTCTCTCTCTCTCCGTCCGTCTCTCCCAGTCTCCCCCCCCCTCCCCGCCTCCTCCTCCTCATTCCACAGAGTGGCAGCGCTGGCACAGCATCGTTCAGAAAACCCTGAGCTGAAAACGAGCTGCGGTAGCTGCCTGTGCGCACCTCTCTCCTCAGATCCCCCTCGGGGCCGTCATAGCCGGTAGGCATGCGGGCGACAGAGCCTGGTTGCTCAGCGTCAGCGCAGCGCACTGCTATTTTCTGACACGACTTCTATTTATTTTAGCTGTAAACGCGTAACCTAATTCTTTCATCTCTTGCTTCTCCCTCTCTAGGTGAACCAAACCCCTCCAACAGTCAGTGGATATATATGAGACAAGAGATCTGCGCTCATTTTTGGCACAGCGTGAGAAGGGCACAGTTATTTTGGAGAGAAATAATAAAGCTCCTGTCCTGTCCACATCGGCCCCGCGTTAGGAGTGGGAACCTCTGCGCTGTGAAGAGTCGCTCCTGTGCCGTGCAGCAGTGCGCTGAGAGCAGCCACACACTCAGAAAACGCACTAAAAAGGCAGGAGGAGATAAAGGAAGGTGGAGGATATTTTACGCACAGCAGCACTCAGTAGCTCTGTCTGACACGCGGCCACTTACTGGGAGTCTCCTGTTTAGGACTCAGCACAGTCGGATTTGCACTTGACTTAAAGTCCACACATACAGCAGTCGGCTGGGATGGATTCCTTCATCATAGCGGCTCTGGCAGTGTGCTCTCTAACGGCACCAGCCTATGGGGACAAAGGGACAAGCAAAGCCCGGAGTTGTTCGGATATCAGGCAGTTTTATAGCGGGAAAGGATTCTCTCTGGATGGTGTCCCCCAGTCTGAAATATCAGGTAAGCTCCTTTGAAATACAGCCTGACCAAAAGTCTGCTGCGGTCATGCGCGCACTGTTCCTCTGGATCAAATCTGATCTTTACCTCTTTACCTGTAACCCAAACACACTTTCAGGATCATCTGACCAAATACAAATTAATTATTTAAATTATAATACAACAATAACACAATGTGGAACACCAGACAGTTGCTATAAACTCTTTACCACCGAGAACCATAATCCCTCTGCAAGTCCCCCTAGGAATGTTGGTCTATTTTCGGGCCAGAGTCGCACCTGCAGCAGCACTATTTATTGTATCTACAGTATGTGTTGGTGTGTGTGGTGTCTGACCTGTGGAAATGATCCTGAATTCTGATTCAGATTGTTGGTTTGTGTGCAGCTGGTTCACAGTTTGCACAAATCACTGCAGGGCACTGTAACTTAACTGTAACTTGATTTCATTTCACAGTGTGAACCACAAGCTTAACATGAAGTATTTGTGCAGTTTGTTTTGGTGTGAGAGTGAGCAAACCCAGTTTCTATCTTTATACCTTTTAAACCTGTAGTCACACTCATTTCATGTCACATGGTAAAGCAGAGGAGCTCTACCTCAGGGCTATCTTTCAAGATGAAACACTGCTTTGAAAAGATATTAGGACAGTACAGACATGTCACAGACTATCTGGCTGTTTGATCTCTGATCAAAAATATGAGAAAGTCCCTTCAAATTCTCTCACACTTGAGAATTTTGGAAACACAGATGCAGGATCAGCATCTTTCTTTCTTTTCTCATTTCTCAGTTTCCCTATCTTTCTGAACTAAGCTGCTACTATTGAAAACAGTCCCCAGTCTTTCTTTTTCTTTAAGCTATTGGGTCTTTGTGCGGGGAATTCTTCCTCATAAACTGCCAGCCAAGTCACTTAACCATGTGCTGTAACCACACAAATATGATGTTGCTCACTGTGTCATCCATGGTCTGATGTCAGACAGTCACAAGCCCCTGTGCAATTCAGATGATTACACGTGTGCCTTCCCTGGAATTCGGTGCAATGCTTTCACACACACACACACACAAAGAGTTTACTGCAATTTTAGGTTCTACAGTTACAGTATATTGTGTGCATTGACAAGACAAGAGACTGTGACCGTGCATGCTTACACAACCACTTTCCTATTTTCAAAGGACATATAACAAAATTTTCACCTACTTTTTTATTTAATTGTCCCAGAACTGAATGTGAAGAACTACTTAATAAAAGGGAAGAGTCGAAAGTACGACACTAATATTTGAAGTCATTTAAAGCTTTTTAGCTACAAGAAATAAGTGTGGACATCCGCATTTTGTTACAATGACTCTTTCTGTAACACTGCTACAATCTGATAACATCCTTGTCTGAAAAAGCCCCAGACTCTGCGTCAGTCACCTTGTTGTCCAATTCATTTTCCACAGAGTGTTGCACTACTGTGACAGTAGATAAACTCTTCTCCCCTGTGAAGGCAGCAATGTTTGTCCATTAGTAAAGACTGAATAGCACTGAAGACATACAGGGGCGACTTTCTGCAGTATTCACATAAAGGTCACACACTCAGGTTGATCCTAAAGTAAAACTGCTCTATTTTCTGATAGCATATGAGCTCCCGTATAGCACGGCAAGGCTGCAGAAAGAGCATTGTGTCTTGACAGAAAGAGTAAATGTGCTTTTTTTTGTTTGTTTTTCAACCTACAGGTTTTAGGTGATTTCACTCAGGTTTCTCACTATCTAGACCTGCCACTAAGATGCACAAATGGAACATTAACAGCTCGTCTACAAGGAACATGATATGTGAGGCAAAGATATACAGTAGATCCTTCCTAGTGATTGCACTGATAGGATAGGAGAGATTATAAGATTTGAGGGTGGGGCAGTAATGTAATGAAACTGTTAGCTCATGTCATCACGCCATACATCATAAGGTAGTGAGGGCGAAGTAGTAACTGGACACTTCTAATTTAATTGATTGACCATACTGAATAAATCATTTGATAGAATTAACGCCAGCCCTGGTCCCTTAGAAATCCCCTTTTCTTCCAAATGTCTGCAATCCATAATGCGTTAAGGAGCAAATCTGTCTTGTCATGACACCACCTATTCCTCTTGTTTCAATCAATGATGTGGAGCTTACTTAAGTCTGGGGTCAATGCATTCTCGGTAAGAGAGAAAGTAAGGGAGCGGGACAGACACTGAGCTGGGCTGGAAAGAGATAGAGATAGAGAACTGAGAGGGAAAAAGAGAGACAGAGGAAAGGAGAGATTTGGCTTTGACAATATTTCTCCCTGTGTCCCCATCTCTCTTGGCTCTCAAGCATAAATAACCGCTCATCCGCTCCAGCCTGGCATATTAAACACCTTAGTAAAATGTGAAAGCTTTAATTTATGCCTCCAAATTATGAGCCACCTGAATGTTGTGGATGATCCCTGACATTTGCAGAAGGATATTTTCTTCTGTGACACCAGGGCTTGATCAACCTAATGTATTGGCTGGACCTGACTCAAGGTCACATGCTGAGTACATCACCCCCGGTTCAGTCAGGGAGGACGACGAGAGACGGCTCCATCCCGGCTTGAAAAATGATGTCCAGTCCCAGCACTTTTAAATCCTCTTCAACGCTTCTGCACAATGCCTGAGATAAAATTCCTTAGCGAATATACTTATTATGCAAATAAAGTCTCAACAAGGTCTACAAGTGAAAGTAAGAAAGTAAGTGTGCATCTGAGCTAATGTGATTTCATTTTACATTAAATCCCAATTTACTTTTTTACTTTTATACCTCTGTTCTTTACATTTAAATTACATACTTTTCTCAATGTGTGAGGTAGAAAAGTAAGAGATTTCCAACAAGCTGAACACCCCCATCCCATATCACAGTCACTGTTTGATTATGCTCAGTCAGCGGTGAAAGAAGATTCCTAGATATTGCTTTCACATCGATACGCCTCATATAACAACTTGGATAGTACCCTGTTCTTAAGTAATTTGCCCTGGAGAAAAAGCCACGCTAGAAGAAAGCTTTTGAGTTAGGGGTGAGTTGTTTGTTATCATTGCGTTGAAGCGGTGTTTACTGGACCGTGGTAACATTATCAGTTGAGCAGAAATGAAAAAGAAACGCTTCGCATGTAATCAAGTAAACTGATTGATGCTCCTAAATGATGATGCTAGTTTAACTCCGTCGAGTGTAATCAGTTTTGGTAACAGCTTTTTCGTAGGTGTTTACCAAAAATGGATGATTGATTTTTATGAGGCTCATCCGTCTCCTCCCTCCACTGCCCCCTCCCTATCCCACCCCATCATTACAGTCCTGATGACTTATCTTTTTGTCTTTCAGGGGATAACATTCTTCATCTCTCTGTTTCTCTCTCTCATCGGCTCTTAAAGAGAGAGGCGCCAGACACTCTTTGAAAGCAGCTGGCAGCCTATGAGTGTTAGATGCTGAATGTCATATAAGCCTATACAAAGAGACAAGCTGCATCAGACATCTGCAGGAAGGCTAGCAACATTTTGGTATGGCATCGGCTTTTCCGTGCTGTATTTGTGTTGTTCTTGATTGCTGGTTGCTACAGGCTGACTGTGAGTCGCTCAGGGCTCTGAAGTGTCATCTCTAACCAGTGTTTGGCTAATGATACAGTGGGATTCCTGCTCACCAGGCCTGCTAGGAACTGTTGTTGACTAAAGACTGACTTGTGGCTGGAAATATGGGCTGATCAGCATGGTAGCCCACAGCAAAAACTATGGGAATGTTTTGAACTCAGCAGCTTGACTCTTGTGATGTGATTTTGTATATAAGTCTTGAAATACGTCATAGTTGTGGAGTTGTAGCTAAAAAGAAAATCTCTCTAGGCAAGTCCCTCACCTCTTTGACTAAGGGTAATGATAAGGTAATGGCTGCTATTGTGTTTGCTGCCCCCTGTACTATTTTCAAGCCAGAGGTTAAATTGAGTCCACTGCCAGTATAAAACAGAGCTGATCAGCAGTGGCTGCAAAACCAACAACAAGTACTTTTGGGGGCATTTCATGCCATTATTAAATAAGATACAGTGGAGATGGACAGGAATATATTTCTATTTTAATAGAGCAGCTCTAGACTGTACTCCTTATATAATTCCCACCATGAGCAAGCACTTGGCGACAGCAGCAAGGAAAACCTCAAGCAGACCCCAGTTCTAGGTGAGCAGCCGTCTGCCCTGGTCAAGGGGAGAGAGAGGGTGGAGGACATGTAAAAAAAAGTCCCCGGACCTGAGACATTGCAATTACATGGTCAGCATCTTAAAATCCCTACGCGCCAGGACCCCCTTTTAATGTAATAGTTGCGACTGCAATCTTACTAAGTTAGACACCATAATGTTTTCGTACCACTTCCAATTCTGAATTGAATGCCATAACATTGTACAGTACACCACATACCAACACAAGGTTAAAAGGGAGCAAAAAGAAAGAAACAAATGCTGTCGTTTCTGTCGCTTCATTAGTTTAGTTTAAAGAGATACTTCCCCTCACAGTGCAGAGAAAAATAAGTTAAAAAAAACACAACCACATCTAATAAGAAAAAAAAACAGACCAATGCACCCTCCTATATTTTACATTTTCATTCATAGCTGCATGGATAATTGGGACGGACCAAACCTAAATAGTACCATAAACAATAAATACTGTGTGTTGAGATGAGATTGCAGTGTTTGTCATTGTGGCCATTCTGGACAGTAGCCTTATCGCCATCCCATTAATATCCCCATTGATATGCTGTTCTTATTCTCCATATAGTGGTTAACTAATTGATCGCACTGAATTACATATTGCTGCCTTGTGAATGGAACTCATTAACTGTCTCGGAGATAAGAGGGCCGAGGCTTATTTGAAGGTTAATGTCAGCCTAAAGCCCCGTGCATCTGTTGGTCTTCCGTTCTAGACAGATTAAAGCAAAAGCAACAGTTGTTTCTGTATCACAGTGTGCAGGCTCATAACTCTGCTGCAGTTTAAAGTGTGT